ATATATATAGGACATCGCATAACATATAAATAAAATATCGTTTTTCAATAATGTTATTTTTCCATTTTCTTATTCTCTAAACAATGCAATGACATGAAAAAATACTAAAATCACACACACAAAAAATCTGCTAGTCAGGAGGATTAATGTAATCATCACTGTATTTTTTCAATAGCTGCTAGCTATCCAGTGAACACAGTAAAATGTGTTCTGACAAGATTCAACAACTATCCACCTTTTTATCTACACCCCATGATGCATGCATGCATTATGGGAGTAATTTACAGTAGACTGTAAACAATCTGCAGATTCAACGCATTTTCAAAAACTGGGTACAATGAGCTGACAATGTTCTACTTACCCTTCAACCATCGAACATTAAAAAGACATTTAAAAGCATTAACAAATTACTACAACAGACAATGAATAACCCTAAAAGCCTGATATTTTTGCAACTATATTACAGGAGTGTTAAATATCACTGTAGTAATGAATGTCTGTGTAACATACTGTATACTGCCTTCATCAAAAATGTTCAATAACTGGAACACTGAGTTATAATATTTCAAACAGCCAAAGATTCTTGTTACACCATGTCACATTAAAATACCAAGCATTACATTATTCTGACGTCTGAAAATATGAAGGAAAATACACAGCTCATTCAGCCAGACTGAAAGATAAGGATTATTTGTTGCTCAACCTTATTATTTGAAATAATTTGTTTCCGTCTTTGTGAGAGGAACTTCCCCAAACCAGAAGTGTCTCTAATAATCAGTAGGCTCGTTAGGAAAAAGGTGGATACTGCAGATTTATTTTTGTGGCTGATTTAGGAAGTGTGTGATTTGCACCAATCAGAATTGCATTTTTATTTTAATCAGTAGACCTTAATCAGGCTAAACCTCATTTCAAATTTTGGGATCGATTCGCAGTCTTTATAATGGCAGGCATTGTATAAAGGTCCTAGATAATGTAACTTTCACAGCTCACAACTTTCAAAAATGTGTTATGGAGTTTTTGTCTCCTGACAGTCTTTTTCATACAGACTGATTTATCAGCACGTTGTAAAACAACAGTACAATCCATTGAACCCATACTTTACATTTTTCACAATCTAATCCATTTCTGATGGACATAACCAAGTTCTGCCCTATTTTTTCCCTCATTAAATATCTTGTCTTACTATGTCAAACTATAGAAGCAAATTAGCGTGTAAATGTTGTTTCATGTTGACTTCAGAAGATTTTTATGCACCTGAGTGGGCAGAATTTTTACTGATGGTATGAGTAATTTTACAGCACACATCCATAAATTAAAGCCTTGTGTGAAGCCATCACATTACACTCTAAAAATAACCCAGCGCTGGGGTTAAAACAGGACAAACCCAGCTATTGGGTTGTTTTGACCCAGCAGTTGGGTTCAAAACAACCCAACCGCTGGGTCAAAACAACCCAATAGCTGGGTCAAAACAACCCAACCGCTGGGTCAAAACAACCCAATAGCTGGGTTTGTCCCTTTTTAACCCAGCGCTGGGTTATATTTAACCCAGCATTTTTTAGAGTGTACAGTGAGTCTTTGGCCAGCAAAGCATTTCAGCAAAATCAATAGTTTTTAATGTCTAACAGTTTTTGAGGCAAGTCAGTAAAACAAACCTGAAACCCAGGATGTTCAGAGAGATATGACATGTCATGAAGGCAGATCATGAGCCTCTAAATGCAGTTTGTAAAACAACACCAGGGTCAGTAACACTTCCTCAAAGTTTAAGTGTCATTTATTTGATTTTGAAATACTTTATCCTATTCCTTCTTGATAGACAGGGATGCAGTTGCACAGCTTTGACTATCAGGTCTGAGATGTTTTTACTCACACATTTGGGATCGAGAGGGAATCGGGGTTAACAATAGGGTTAACGTCATTCTTGTGCGAAGACGAAAGCGCAACATTGTCTGTGTGTATGTGTGAAAATATAAAATTATAAAATACGCTGTTATATTTTTTTTGTGTTTGCGCACTCTGATGTAAACAAGCCCAACACGCAAAAGCAGCATGGCGGAACGAGTGAAGAAGATGCTTCATTCCCTTCAACCAATCAACCTTCTGCAGTGCATCTAGCGCCACCCTTTAGGTACCAGACGACTCTTCTAGGTACCCCAACATAAGGGTCCCAAAAAAAAAAGTAATATGGTGTGGTAAGCTATTTTGGTACCATTCACAACTTCTGACAATGGAAATGTAAATAATTGCGTACCGTACTGTACTGAACTGAACCGTACCGCTCGAGTCTTTACTGTACGGACTTCATGCCCTAAACATGACGCTCAACAAAACGAACTGTGACTGGCTGCTTTACATGTCAGTAATGTGGCCCCTTGGGCGGTCCTTGGCCAAAAAAAAAAAAAAAAAAAACGGCCATGGAGTATTCAGACCTTTTGAAGATCTGGCTACGTGAGGCTACCTGAGTAATGACACAGACTTTTGAAAGTAACTCTGTCGCCCACTTGAGTACTGGAGTTGTAACTACAAGAGCCACATGAACCACATGCTAGTAGCATCTGTACTCAGTTTATTTTTCCGGCCTACAACTACCAGCTAATGACTGTCTAATGAATACAACCTTTCAAAATTATTTTTAAATGAACAAAAATGGATTATAATCATCCACACATAGATATGCCTCTTTTTTTCCTCACTTCATCTTATTGCCAAAACTGTGTTAGATCACTAGACCACTGCCTTCCATATAAATCCTTTTTATTGTCTACGGGCACCACCCTCCCTCCCTCCCTCTCTTCCCCCTGTTTTGGTGTGTCATGCAGTATAGCAGTTGCGTTTCTCTCTAGTGGGACTCTTTATGTGTCACTGTTGTGCATGCTGCAGTGACAATGGGAGCGAATGTGTGACTGTGCATGTAGGGGTGGGGAAAAGAGAGGGAGAGAGAGAGAAAGCGAGTAACTAGAAAGAGATAGAGTACGTACACGAGGCAGGAGGCGCTCCCTCTAATCGCGGCTACGACGCCAAACAGCATTGCACCGGCTGCTACAATAGTCTTAAATGGAGGCTCAGGCAGACTCTGGTGCTGCAGGTAAGAGCAAACATTTCTTCAATGCGACGCATTTAAACGCGCACTCCCATTGAATTCAATAGCCCACTGTAAGAGCTGCCACCATGTCTTTTGTTTCTTGAATGCACAGACAAAGCAAGCAGTCAGAGGAAGCCGGTAGCGCTCAGCGGCTGGCAGCTTGCATTTATGCACATGAGAAAAGGCACAGCAACTTGGATACATTTAGGGTGGTGGCTTATGAATTATAGCAGAAATGTTAAATGATTACTAGAACTGCTATGTGAATAAATGACAAAGGTCATGAGGGAGAGGATTTTCGGATGTGACCCTTTTTTGAAATTGAGTTGCATCTTTTGCAGCGGTTGCTTTGGGACAATGGGAGTCGGGTACCACTGGGTGCTGCTAAAAATATAGTTCATCTCGGCTTGTATGGTTTAGATGGAGAGCCTTTTGGAATATGCAAATATATCCCAATCCATGCACCAATATTTGCATGACTGGCACGCACAAAAAGAGAACAAGCCAGCAGAATCTGCTGTGTGTGGGCTAATGAGAGGTGCGAGGCAGGGAGGGATGACCCGCAGACTGCAGAGAACGGCCACAGCTGGAAAAGTCTGTATCATCACATAATGGATTCTTGAGATGTGGGACAACACATGCTACAGAAGTGAAAAATAAGTTTATGTACCGAGAAATTGGATGAATTTGGATGAATCTGTCAAATGTGTTCTGAGGTATTCACCTATCGCAATCTCCTGTTACTTCCGCCTTTTCACAAAATGTGTTTTTTTTTAGGTCAATTTAATATTCATTTAATGTCATTTTTTAATTATTAAAATAAAAATATATGAAATCATTAACAAAGTTAGTCATGCTGTGTGTAAATTCTATAATTTCCTATTTTGCCTTTATGTTTTTGTGAGCCCACAGTCAACGAAGCCCCAACTGCGGCCTCGCCAAAACACACAAGGCACAGACCGTTATATGTATGCATATATATATATATATATATATATATATATATATATATATATAATGTATA